GGCGGCCATCTTGTCCTCCGCCTCCCGGAGGACACCGCCTCCGCCCACCCGCTCCGCCCCGGCCGCGCCTTCCGGCCCCGCCCCACGGGGCGCACGACTTGGGCCCCGAGTCACCGGTGGGGGAATGTCTGAGCGACTGGGGTTACTTTGTTTCAAATAGGGTTAACCTCTTCAGCTATGCGATTTTAGCCACGTTTGCTTCCCGATTAATGAACAACGAACAAACTGTATCTCATGTTTTGTATTTACTCACTATTCATTTATCAGCTTAAGAGGTACCCTCTTTCCTGCATCTTTATATCAGAGCTTGCCCGGGAGCTCAGATTCACGAATTAAGTCGAAGTGTCCCAATAGGGCAATATCGCTACCCTCCTAGAGTCTGTCTCCCAGGCCGCCGGACCCTGGATTGATTATCCTCCTAGAACTTTGGAAGGGAAATGACAGTTTGAAAAGTTCCCTCCAGGTCTGCAGGGTTCACCTCTAAACTCCGCATAAAATGACCAGAATCCCTGAATCCACCTAGAATTTACCTCATTTCTTAGGATCTTTTCTTAATTTGGACCTCCTTCTCTAATGGCCTGCGACAAATACCCATGGCCTTTGACTTGGTAAATACACCCCTATGTTGAAAGACCAACTTAACCCACTGTCACCGGCCTTTAGGAATCTGCGTGGAATTCATTTGGACCTGCCAACTCATCATTCAGGAGTGATTTTAAAAAATAATGACAAATTGATTAAGAAAACTAATTGCCATTTCAGAGGACCACATTTTCTATGTGTTTTAACATTTCTAAACTCAAGATGGTATATTATGAAATGTTTGGAAGACTGAAACATGGAAACTACATTTTGTGAAAACGGCAATAAACTAACTTCAGTTTTTGTACACATGGGACCTTAATGTTGAGGGCCAAGTTTAATATATAGAAAAAAACCAATTACTATAAAATAATGGAAAATCAAAATTTATTTGATTTGTCTTTGCAACATATGCAGACAAACACCAACTCAAACATGCAAACTTGTCTGTCTCTGAGCCTGACCTTAAAGTTCCTTATTAAAGGAAGGTCCTTGAGTTGAGATACACTAAGCTATAGCTTCCTCCATAAAATCTGTTTTAAAATGTGTCCAGCCAAGGGTTGGAAAGTCAAGTCCGCTGGAGAGATATCAGTTCTGAGATGTGCATTTAGAAGTCATCTTGTGAAAGTGACAATTGAAGGAAACCCTGCAAGTAAGTAAGATCTCCAAGGAAAAACACACATGGTAAAAGTAGATAGACAGATAAATAAATACATAAATAACTAAATACATTTTAAGTTTAAATTTAAATTTAAAAAATTATGATAAAAGAAAAAGAAAGATGAAGCAGGAATTGAATCTTAAGGAACACCAACATTTAAGGCTCAGGTTAAATAATAAATGAGAATTATGAGATCAAAGTTTGGGTAGCAAACACCCAGCAAGAGGCAGGCTTTGGTTTTCACACCTAATTAAAAACTGAAGGGCAAACATGAGCAAAAATCTCAGTAGAAATGGTAGTTGAGATAATAGATGGGCAAAGATATACTTTTGGAAAATTTTATCTTCCCATGCTGTGTCTAACAAGGCTATAGATCAAATGATATAATGGATATAAAAGTATGTTTAAAGGAATAAATCACTGTCAATTTAAGGTAATTACTTTGACTTCTGCTACCAGATTCCATTTGCTAAACCGCAGTAAATATAGTGGAAGGTTCCCTCTGTTAAGAAAACTCTTCTTTAGGCATTTCAGAAGCTTTTTTGGGTCACACTTGAATTTTTCTGCTGTGATACCATAAAGCAAAGTATAAAACCAAACAAAAACATTTATTCTTCCGCTAAAAGAAGGAAACAATCTAATTAATCAAATTCTCACAGGGACTAGATTGACACCTTAAAGTATTGAGGATAAACGCTAAGTACCTAAGAGGTAGATCCCTTTGTTTCCCTTAAAATACTGGACAAATAATAGCCCTCTTATAATTCTGGAGAAATGCATTTTATATCACTCTTGGAAGAAGAGCAGCATTGTTTTTCTCAGTCAGTAAAGTAGTGACCGATTGTTCAATTTTATCTCTCTTGCCGTGGAAAAGGTCTTGCTGGCTTCACATTAGGGAAAAAATGAAAGACAACAGCAAGAGAGAATTAGGGATGAAATCTGGTCCATTAAGCGAACAAAAGAGATTTAACCACCTCTGATCTCTTCCTCCCAGGTGTAAAAGCAGGTGCTGAAACACCAGCTGTCACCCCTGGAAGACTGCTAATTTTTTTTTATGATATTTTCCCTTTGTTATTTAAGAAAAAACCTGAGATTAAGCCATTAAATAAAACATAGTTTTCAAGAAAAATAAATGTCAGTTTGGATTTTTATTAAGAAAAATAGAACACATACAAGGGATGAAACTTAAAAGAACAGGAAGTAATGGCTAGTTTTGAGATCTATATATTTATTAACAAATATAACCTGCATTTGAATTTTTGAATGTGATAAGATACTTAGTAAAAGAAGGATTTACATATTGGAGAATCCAACTTTTTCTAATGAGTATATTTGCACCAAGTGATAACAGGGGGGATCACTTTCCTTCTCTTAACAGAGATCAAACAAAATGGTCAGAATTTATTAAGACATTAAACAAGAGGGAGGGCATAGCCAAAAACCATTTTCCAGCGCCAATTAGCAGGTTTTATGATTCACTGAGTTGGCCCAACTACTGTTCAACTGCTTCCCAACTAAAACGAAAGGCTTCTGGCGTGGCATGTCAGAAGGGCCGATGACACTTTCAAGTACATGCAAAATAAAGTTTTTTTTTTATTACCCTCCACTTGGAATGACTACAGAGGAATCTTACCCTGCATAGTTCAAACTAAAAAGAGAAGCATTAATTACTCAAAAGGCAAGAGAAGACAAGGAGAAGTAAGTTTTGAATCAAGGGAAATTATTTCAGAAGCTAGTGTCTGGCATTTTTAAAATTTTCTGCTGGTTGTTATATTAGCCATCCATAAGTGGCTAGTATTAGGCATTTAGGATTAAGGGATGGAGAGATGCTTATTTGATTTAACTTCCTAAAAATAGAAAACATAGGACTAGGAATAGAAAGAAAACGACATTTAGGTTTCAGAGCTCTAAGATACCACTTAACATGCTAAACACTGGTGGCTTTTTGTTTTGATTTATTTTGTTTTAACTTAATTCTGGTCTCAAAAACACCAGAATGCTAGGACGTGTGATCCAGAGAAACAAGGGCTGACAAGGGCTGCTGTTCACAGCAGAGGGAGGAACAGTAACTGAGTAAATTGGGAAATGCATCTCGCCAAGAGATTTCATGCCATGAGTGGCTTTCCCAGCGTCTCACATACGTCTCAGACGTAGCAGAGTAGGCCGAGAACCCACGTCTCCGGACTTAAGTTTACAGCTTTGTCTGCTTAGCTGCTTTCAAACTGCCACATTGTCTCTTTTATTTCACCCCTGGACTTAGTCCTGCTTCAGAATGGATGAAGTTCCCTTGTTTCCACCCCATCCCTACCCCAGCACCTTTCTTGAGCTAATTCCTGTTTATCCCTTAGGTCCCATCTTAGACATCACTTCCCGCAAGGAGCCTTTTCTGACCTCCCTCCACCCCCTCATTCCTGGACCCCCCTGGGTTGTGTGCTGTATGTATACCATTAGATATTTCCCCCAACCATTTATTGTACTTGACTGTAATTAGTTATTTAATTGTGTTTCTTCCCCAGCCAGCCTAGAAGGCCATTCTTATTGTCACCACAGCATCACCAGAGCCTGACGGGGCTTGCCTGGAACATGGGAGGGGTTATTAGATACCTGATGAATAAATCAGATTCATGCATTTTGTAAAAATTGGATACTCTCAAAATAATGAGCAGCATATTTTCCTCTCAATGCAAGTATATAATCACATGGATTATCTGAAATCAGAGTATTAACAGCTGTTCTTATTCTTATAAAATGTGAATGGATCTCCATGTCCCAAAAGTTATTTAACAATAAATTTAACTCAATTAAAAATGAGGCTTAAATTCATTTTACAAAAATGCTTAATTATAAGACAGTTATAATGTGTTCTAATTTAGAGTGGTCAGTCTCTCCTACCTGAATTGAAAGCAACTATTCATCAATTCCTCAAACATTTTGTGTCTTAAAAGATTTAATCACAACATGAGACTCTACTTCTAAACAACCATTCCTGAACTTGTGTATTTACCAACATTTACGTTTCTGCTCTTTGACTTCAAATAACTTGACTTCTCCTAATATTCTCTGAACATATATGCACACATACATTTCAATGTCTTTTTGTTTATTTTGGAATCTTTTACAAGATTTTCAGAGTATTGGTGGAGGGGCTTTGCTAATTTCTGACTTACCCATAATTTTTTTTAACATAATGTGGAAAAGCTAATAGAGAGTCCATGATTTGGCCAAATGATTCCTTTCTGAAATACTTGCAGGCTTGAAAGGTACACCTTTCACCTACCTCAAGCCTCCCCCACAAGCTATTTACAATTGTACAGTTAATCTTGAGATGTCATGTTGATTATCTCCAAGCATCTATGATTACTGTTACATATTCTCTTGCAGAGCTTAGAAGTCTGTCCTGTAAGGAGGAAGATGGGAAGAGGAGGGATCCAGCAACGTTGTCTGTCATCATCTGTAGCAGACATACCAGTTGGTCTAATGTAACATCCATCTCCCTTGCCTGCTTCCATTATGAAGACTAAAAAAAATCTAAATACTTAGCTGTCCCAGTCTAGTTTAGGTGAGAACAGTGGACTGTAGGGAGTGGTTTTGAGAAAGTTTTTTACTTCTCTATTAAAGCAAA